TCTCCCTCCAGGAGATTATGGTTAATAAGTCAGGACTTAAGGTCGTACTTGATAAGTACACCATGAAGTGTCTCTCAAATTTATTGTTTCAACGAGATTACGTTGTATTATTACCCCGTGATTGCTAACCCTGGTACGTTGTATTTGTACCCTTGTTAATGCAAACCCGGTATGATGTATTATTACCCTGGGATTGCTAACCCTGGTACGTTGTATTTGTACCTCTGTTAATGCAAACCCGATATGATGTATTATATCTTCTTTAATATATTTATTTTTGACCTAAATTTGACTGGTGTTACATTCAGACAACCTAGTTTTATCCGGTTATTGTTACATCGGCCTACTTGTTAAGGAAAAATCATGAACTTATTATCATTATTTGTATGAACTTTGTATTCAAACCTTAAAGTGGAATGTAATTGTTGTGTTGTTATTGTTGTAACTTGTGATGTATATTTAATTTGCTTGTGATCCATGAACTAAGTCGCACAGTCCGGCATGTTCCACCGCTTCGGCTGGGGGTGTGACAAAATATGATTGATCAAGATCACCAACATGTGACGATCACAAGTATACTATACAATTTTGTGGCAAATTTGAAGCAATACTGCGGGTAAAAATAAAATACAAGAACAAATAACATATCTAATTACAAGTCGATGTGTTAGAGATGGTGTGGGGTATATCATATTCAAAACTTAACCACCTCTAATTTTTTTTTGTATTTAGTATTTCACTACTAGCCAAAGATAGTTATTCCTACGAAAATTTCCTAGGAAATTCCTCGAAAATAGACTTTTCATAGGCATTTTTTTAGAGGAGCAAGAGCCTTTTTCAAAACTTAACCACCTCTCATTTTTTTGTAGAAAAATAGCCTTTTTCTAGTAGTGTTTTACCATACCATCTATTATTCATATATATATTTATTTACAGAAATTCCTAAAAAATTATCGCCCTAATTAAATGACGAGAGAATAATTCATGTCAACCACTTAAAAGCGATTTCTAATCAATCCCATGCTCACAAATTATATCCAAGTTGAAGAGATGAACTCATGATTGTTTACATGAGAGAAGAGTACCAATTATTTTATTGTCAAGTCAGACACTCGAGCAAGGCTCATGGATAAAAACACTACTATTTCGCCAACTTATCCAAGGACAATACATGGGTCTAAATCTGCATCAACTACCAATTGGGAGCCAGCAGTCAAAACCCTTGGAAAGTAAAATACGGTGACACTTGTTCGTAGCTCACGTTAATTTGCTAAATCAAGTAAAGTGAAATGCACAACCTTATTGTTATTGGCATTCCCAACAATGTACCCTTTACAAGTACAATCAAATGGCCATCCAATAAAAAGGTGCTTTTTTTAAACAACAAAAGAGATATATGTATATATTAAAAAGCAGCACTTAGCAAGAGGCTAAGGCGCAAATGTGCAGAGATAAAAAGGTTCAAATGAAATTACATATTAGAATAAAAATGAGAAAATGGAGATATGCTCCAATCCACCCAACTCCCACACCCGAAACTACTTCTATATTTGCACCATAAATAGGAGAGGGAAATAACACTGTCTGCCCCCTTAGTGTGAGGGGTTCTCAATTCTTTGAATAATCTATCATTCCTTCCGATCAAAATATTCCACAGTAAGCAATACACTATGGAGTTGAAAATTGTTCTTTCCCTTGGACTATTCCCCCAAGATGTTGCAAATCGATGAGCTCCTTGATGCACGAGAAATGTTGCGTGTTAATCCCACACCATTTGAAGATCCATTCACGAACACCTCTTGCGAATTCATAATTAACTAAAAGATGATCGGCCGATTCAGATTCAATGTTACAAAACTTGCACAATTGATTGGATACTGATATGCCTCTTTCAACAAGTGAGGTGGCAATCGGAATTCGATACATCGAGGTTCTCCAAATGAAGCATCTAACTTTTACTGGCACCATTTTGTCCCAGAATATTGAGGGACCACAGTATGGGTTGATATTCACATTTATGCATCTCCTCATAGTGTTGACAGTAAAACGACCATCCGGGTTTAACATAAATCTAAAACCAAAAGAGGATTGTGGGGGAATGTCCATCGCACCAATACATGAATATAGTTTCCATAACTCATGTAGAGTTATCCCATCGTTTGGATCCTGGGTCCAATTCCAGGTGAAACCATTGGCTGACATCCGCTCTTCCAACCTGCAACATTTAACCTTTTCCCTGTTGTAAAGAGTTGGGAATCGCTCTTGTAAAGGGGAGTTTCCACACCAAATATCCTTCCAGAAAAGGATATTCAAGCCGCGACCGGGAATCAACCTAAATACCGTGGACCAATCCTTATTTATTTCTTCAATGTGACGGATTGCCTTATATATGTTGCGCCAAACTCCAGTTGATGATTTTGTTGAAATATATGTGGCCGGTTTCTTTTTTAGATTGTGAATGCTAATGATTTCCTTCCTCCACAGTTGGTGGCAATCATTCCATAACCTCCACCACCATTTAGTGAGTAGAGCTAAATTTTGCGCCTTAATAGAATCGACTCCGAGACCTCCATCCTTTTTTTCTGCCACTACCTTGGACCAGTCCACCCAGTGAATCATATTTTTTTCTTGATTCCCACCCTATAAAAATTTGCGCCTTATTTTTTCAAGAATGTCAATAATGCCCTGGGGTACTTTGAACAAAGACATATAGTATGTTGGAAGGCTATTCAGGACCGATTTAATTAGGGTGAGGCGTCCACCGAATGAAAGGGCGTTAGTCTTCCAGGTTGATAGTTTGGACTTAACCTTATCAATTATAGGCTGCTAGTTTTTCTTTAAAGACATATTTGCACCAACTGGAGCCCCTAGGTAGGTAAATGGGAAAGCCCCTTCCATATATCCCAATACTCTTGCCCTTCGTTGAATCTCCTGAGAGGAAACTCCTATTCCGAAGAGTCCAAAAGAAATATGAAAACATTTGAGTATACGGGATAAGTTTTTGATGCTTTCACTGTACCATTCACCGACAAATATTGCGTCATTTTCATAAAACATGTAGGAGATCAACGGTCCCCTATTTGGGAGTTGGATACCTTTGATTAACGAGTTTTTGCAAGCGTTGATGATTGCTACATTTAGGCCTTCCATCGCTAAAAAGAAAATGAATGGTGATAGAGGGTCCCCCTGTCGTACGCCACTGGAAATGGGAAATTCCTCTGTTGGGGATCCATTGACAAGCACCGAAGACCTTGATGATGCAAGGAATCCCCTAATCCATGCTCTCTATTTGATACCAAACCCCATTTGCAACATAACTGAATCCAGATAGTTCTAGTTTATATAATCGAATGCCTTTTCGAAATCAAATTTAAGGAAGAATAGTTTGTTCTTGAACTGCTTGGCCCATGAAACCACTTCATTAATGACCAGTGAGGCATCAAGAATGTTCCTGCCAGGAACAAATGTTGATTGAACATCACTAACCACATATCCAATTACTGATTTTAATCTCATGGCAAGGATCTTAGCAATGATCTTACAAATACTCCCAATGAGGCTGATAGGTCTGTAGTCTGCTAGAGAAATCGGGTCTCTAACCTTTGGAATTAAAGAAATGAACTACGAGTTGCATCCCTTTGCCAAAGATGCATCATGTTCGAAATGATTAACAAAGTTGACAATATCACATGACATTATGCCCTAGTTTTCCTTTATGATCTTGAAAGTAAGCCCATCCGGCCCCGGTGCCTTTTCATTGCCACATCTCCACACAACATTTTTATTTCTTCGGGGGTTATGGGGACTTCCAACGATTGCCTTTGGTCAATGGATAAATGCTTGAATGTTTGGCTGATTAATAATGGTCGATTGGGCCATTTCTCGTTGAATTTATCAGCAAAGAATAGAAATGCTTACTTTATTTATAGGCTCCGGTTTCACCTCCCAGACCCCGTTAATCAGTTGACCATGTATTTTGTTTTTCATGTTCATGTTTTTGATTGAGCCATGAAAGAAATGGGAATTTTCATCCCCGTCAATAAGCCATTTGATTTTCGCCTTCTGTTGCAGGTCCATTTTTGTGATTCGCTCTAATTCCAACATTTTGATTTTATCCTCCCTCCATGTTATCCTTTCAGCTTCCGAGATATCTTTGCATTCTGCTATTTTTTCCATCTCGTTCACCTTATTCTTTAATTTGTTTAACGATCCAGTTTTGTTTTTAGAGTCTTCCTTCTTCCACTTTCGAATTATTTCCTTCACATGCTTTAGTTTTGCTTTGAGAATGATATCTGGTGTGCCATATCCTTGGAAAGTACTCCAGGCCTCAGTGAATTCTTTACAAGATTATGCATTGAGGATCCAAGACTTGAAGAACCTGAAAGGTGGGGGTCCAAAGTCGACGAGAATTGGTTTCAAAATAATCGGGGAATGATTAGAATGCAGTATTGGGATAGCAGTGACACTGGATGAAGGCTGTATTCTAATAAAGTTTGAGCAAATCAGGAATCGAACGATTTTACTAAATTTATGCCCCTCCTCCCTATAATAAGTATATTGCAGCCCACCCATTTTGAATTCTTTTAGCCCAGCATCGATTATGAACTGATTAAAATCTGTTGTGGAATATTTACAAAATGCGGAGTTGAGTCTTTCATCCCTCCTTCGTACGACATTGAAATCGCCAAAAAAGACCCAGTTCCCGTCACTGGATTTTATATTGAGAAGTTCATTACAAAGCTCTCTCTTTTCAGAGATGGATTGTGGAGCATAAACATTAACTAGTGTAGTGTTTCCTGGGAATCCACTCCATTGACCTGAGATTGCGATAAAGTACAGGTCATTACTGCCCTAACACCTTATGATATCCTCTCTAGATAAATTGGCCACATGAGTTTCTTCAACACCTATGAAATCGCTTTTGTGTTTGGTTTTCAGATCCCTAATCCATTCGACTTTATGAGACTGGCTCATCCCCCTGATATTAATATTTAGTAGATTCATTTGGTTCTATGTAAAGCACCTTCGCCCACAGCAGCCACATCCAGTACCTCTTCCAAAATATCGACATTGTTTACACCAATTTGAAAACCCATATCATTTCCAATTTTAATAATACTTGAGATTTCATCTGAGGAGGATCGAGATATGACAAAATCGCCATTACTACTTGCAGTAGGAATTGCAATTTTTAGATCAATGGAGTTTACAATCTCTGAGATTAGGCTATCTGATTGAAGTTCATGCGCTAGATTCCTAGCAAATAAATTGAAGATGTCCGAGTCAGATGAGTAAACTTCCGCTTCTTAGATTGGGTTTCGCAGTCAGTTGGGGTGATACTATCATTTCGGTGAGTTGGATCATAGGGCCCTTGGATTAATTGGGGAGGCTGGGTCCGACCCGGGGTTGAAACAAGAATTGGATTCAAAGTGGGATGCTCGATGTGGGGACTAGGGATGAGAGTGGGTCCAAACCCGGACCGGTAGACCCGGACCCGGAAAACCCGGGAACCGGTTAACGAGATTTATTAGGACCGGAAACCGGACCGGTATATAGGAACCGGTTCCGGTTCGGTTCCGGGTAAGGTACCGGGTAAAGTGGGTCTAGAACCGGAAAACCCGGAAATATCGAAGTGGGTCGAATGGAACCGGGCAAAGTGGGTCTAGAATCGAAAAACCTGGGGAACCGGGTAAAATGGGTCGAATGCATGTTTTAAAATTTCACAAAATACAAAAATAAAGCTGAGAAAAAAAAAAATTCGCACCTTTGATATCCCAACTTTGGGAAACTATAAATCAATGAATATGAAACCAAAAATGACAAAATTATAGTCTAAAATCATGTACAAACTCTATACTACACTTTGGAAAAAACCGCATGCTATTCCGACTTCAAACGAATAAGATATGCATATTTTAAATCTATCACAAAATACAAAGAAAGCTGAAAAACATAAAATTTTCAGCTTTGATATCCCGACTTTGAGAGACTATAAGTCAATGAATATAAACCCAAAAATGACAAATTTATAGTCTAAAATCATGTACAAACTATAAGCTATACTATGGAAAAAACCTCATGTCAATCCGACTTTAAACGAATGAGATATGCATGTTTTAAAACTATCACATAATACAAAAAAAAGCTGAAAAACATAAAATTTCCAGCTTTGATATCTCGACTTTGAGAGACTATAAGTCAATGAATATAAATCCAAAAATGACAAAATTATAGTCTAAAATCATGTTAAAATTATAAACTATACTATGGAAAAAACCTCATGTCAATACGACTTCAAACAAATGAGATATGCATGTTTTAAACTTTTCATAGAAACCGGTTCCGGTTCCTAACACGGTTCCGGTTCTTAAACCCGGTTTACCCGGACCCGAAACCCGGATTACCGGGAACCCGGATAGAGCCATTCTTTAAACCCGGGACCTGGACCGATTTTACATATTACGGTTCTAACGGTTTCGGTTCCGGTCCGATTCCGGTTCCGGTTCGGTTTTCCGGTTCTAAATCTCATCCCTAGTGGGGACACATTTTGAAGAGGTTAGACTTACATGGGACTTCCACATTCTCAGACGATTGGGCTTCCACAATTAATGCATCCCCGAGGTCATCATCTTTCAAGCTTCCATCCACTACCAGCAACTGAATCCCGCCGCCGGCGACGTTTCCGGTGGTTGCAATTCCTTCCATTCCTATCTCACCTTCTTCAAGCCCTTCCAAATTGTCCCGATTGAACCATGTTTCTGATACCCCTTCCTCATATGTATTCTCCCCTGAGTCTCCATCTGATTCTTCATCATCCTCCTCATCTTCAGATTCATTAACCTCAGACAATGGCAGAGCTGGAAAACTTCTGTTGAGAAAAGGTTCCTAATTATTATCACATTCTCTAACAGCAACTGGGTATTGTTTTCCGTCGATGGAAGTTATCAATTCTGCGCTTACAAATTTCCACGAGTTTGTGAGAATGTTTCCATAACATGAGGAAAGATCCATGTTATGCCAGTTATGCCCTTCTGCTTCAAGAACCTTTCCAAACCTGCTTGCAATCAAGGAAATGTTCTCGTCGGATCGAAGATTGTAACGCTCGTAGATCCGGGCTAGTCAATTTAGAGATAATAGGGGTCGAAAATGACTTTTTGACAAAAGATTATTTAAAAATAATCTTTACCAAGTTGTAGAATACGTCTCAAGAGTTCCGTACATATAAAGAACGTTGAAATCCGACTTATAACGAAGAAGTTATGGTCCGTCGAAGTTTTACGGCAAAACCGATACGACACCGGGAGACGTAAATAGTGAATTTTTGATAAAGGACTTTTTAGCCTTAGTGATCTAAACAAAATTTGTAGTATACGTTAAACCGAGAACATACGAAAAAATAACGCCCAAATCTGACTTCGTATGAGAAAGTTATGAATTTTCTAAGATTTGGCATAGCAATGCACGGCCCGAAACTCGAATTTTAGTTCGAGCGGTTTTTGGCCTACGCGACCTAAATGAGAATTGAATATCTCATTAATAGGAACTCAACGGTAAAAAGACAGACGAAAACAGAGTCCGTATGTAGAAGTTATGAATTTTATGCGGACATTTAACAGTACAATCTCCTCGTGCTGTTAAATTTAAGATCGGTCGAGAATTAGCCGACATAGTCAAAATGAAAGTTGTAGATCTTATTTTTACCTACGCATGGATATAAAGAACGTCAAAAAACGGAGCTCGTATGTGAAAGTTAAGGATTTTAGAAGTCGAAAATGTGCTGTGCGAAAATGGGTGATGTGGCACAATCGTGGTCATTGCTTTCTCCCCAAGTCTTGCCACTAAATGGTGACATGTGGCACCAAGTTCAGCCATTTTTCACCCTATAAATAGAACCTCTCCACCCTCATTTTCTTCACACATTTCTCATTCTTTCTTCTCTTTACTCTCTCTCTACAACCTCTCTCTAGCCCCAAAACCCCCCGAAAAGCCTAGGGAACCTCCCTAGCACGAGGTGGAAGCCCCGGAGTGCTCGACGGCTCTGAGAAGAAGAGCTTTTCGGCTCGGGAACGCTGCTCCAAGCAAAGCCCGGTTTTCTATAAAACCCGCTGTAAGTAAGCTACACCTACGCTATTTTTAATATAACTTTTATTTAATTATAGTAACGTTATTAGGAACTTATAATAAGTACTTGGGCTATTATTATGGGTTATATAAGTATTTTTTAACGCTTATATAATAGTAATAATAGCTAGGCTATTAATTATTCTCGGCGAATAATACACTAAGCTCTAGTGGTAATAATACTAAGTTTCGTCGAAGGAAATTATTTTTTAAGAAGCGAAGCGCTGTCTGAGTTCGGAATCACCACCTTTTCAGGTGAGTGCATGGTCCCTTTCATCTTACACATAGATATGAAGTATTTAATATAAATTACGTGCTATGTGTGCATATTGTCTGAATACTTGCTGTCTATGCTGGGTGAAATATTTTTATACACGTTTTAAATGATTTAAATTGTATATGTATTTTACATCTACAAAACGTGTTGGGTAAAACGTGCGTAGATGTAATAGTTGTTGTGTGACCAAATAAAATAATAAGAGGCCACGATGTAGATGTTATTGATGATCCAGTCATCTAGCGGAGTATAGATGACGACCACGGACTATTCTAGACAATCCAGTGGAACGCTAGCAGGCTCGCAACCTGTAGGTGTTTATTTGAACTGTGTGCTCACCAGCAGTACTCCATCCCCCACATGGTTGCCTTATTTGACATGAATTGCTGAGGAACCCCCGAAGCATGTGTTGTCACCCCGATGAAAGTCCTTAGACTAGGTCCCTTGTGTTAGATGTTTTAGGGACGTAAAGTGAGGATAACGGGAACGGGTAATCGGGTTTGTTTGGTTTGATAAAGTTAAATAAACTTATTTATTGTGGGTTGAAAACCCTATGTACTCACCAGGTTTCCCAACCTGACCCACTCAGTTTATTTATATCACAGGTGTTGATATGAAGTCAGATTACACTGAGAGATTAAGGAGATATAAATCACTAGTGATAATGAATGTAAGTTCTGTTTATGCTTATGTTTCTGTATTGACGATGACATCTCAAATGTTTTAAAATTAATAAATATATTTTTCTTCGAAAATGCTTTGATAACGTATTTATCATGTTTTACTGGGAACAAATTCCGCAACATTTTTATTAAAAGAGGTACTCTAATTTTTATAAAGCATAAACAAAATCGGTCTTTGCTGGCCGTGAATATGGGGATGTCACAGTTGGTATCAGAGCATTAGTTTAAGCGAACTAGGAATATAGATTTATTTCTAGACTTAAACTTAGAATGCTAAGCGATGATCGTGAGGAGTGTGTCTAATATATTTTAGGAAGTACACATAAATACACACAAACACTAGCTTAATTAGGAAAGATGCCTATAATGCTTTTATGTGCTAAATGATTTGTGATGCTTTATGCTATCGTTTGATCGGATCTATCGTCTGTTGCCAACCAGATCTGGAAATTTTATGTGCTCAGGTTTCTAAACGTTTAATTACGATATTAGAACTGGCATGTAACTTTTTGGAGTAATACGGAGGAATACGCATCTAAATCTTCCTCTATCTATATTCTCGTCTCGATACACCGAACGCCTGCTTTGGTGTATAGAATGTCACGATAAGGACTCATAGTAGACTGAGCAAATGGAGGAAACGAGAAGGCTTACGATAGTGAATGATACCTATCGGAAGATATTTTAAGAATGATATCTTGCCTTTAGAATGCGTCTAATAAATAATACGTTTAGTACGGAAGAAGTTCACTTTCGATTAGAAGAAAGAAAGATTTTTGGTAGAATCCATGAAGTTATCCTATCGTTTGACATTTCCACCATCAACCGAGTTGAAGCAGAATTGATGATTGAAGATACGCGTGGAAGAAGTCGTAGTAGAGTCTAGAGAAAATTATATGATTGTTTGGACACATTTGTATGTCTTAAAATTGTTTTTGTGATAATAACTTGGAGAACTGCGAGACAATACTTGAGACGCGTATGAGTAGGTGTGAATGGTAGTAGAGGCCTATACTACCGGAAGCACAGGACTCACGCTTGGATCAGGGAAAGTCACAAGGTTACCAAGAAGCTAGTAATTGATACCGTTTTATTCAAATATGTCGTTACCATCGTTTCGGTAATGACTAAGAGGATGATTGTTATTCCGACGCTAGTGGTCATATCGAATTGAGTCCGACTACGATGAGTATGTTACGTGGTTCAGAAAACCAAGTTTGATGTAGCATCTGACTTAAGCCGGAAGATTGAAATAAAAGATAATTAAAGCGATCGGTAGAGGTATCACGATAGTTGCTTGTAGCTAGAAATGCTACCTTTTAAGATGTGATTAGAACATGAAGGAAGGTATAGTCTGTTCATGAATTTGACTCTAAAAGACCTGAGTCCAAGCAATGCATCATACGATGAGAGGTCATTAGAACATGACCCATCGGTCTATTATGATAATCGAATAAAGAATCTTATCTCAAGTTTGTTAAAGAAGAAGTCTCCAATAAAGATCGAGATCGTGACATGAATATCATGATTGGAGTCTAATGTGAGATATGGAGCAAGTACAAGATCAAGCACCGCCTGCAGTCAGGAAGTCTTAGAGTTAGATACTCGCTCGAAGAAACATCAAAGTTACGGTTACTACTTAGGATGAAAAGATAACGTATGGAGTCATCATGTGAGCCCTATTTCGTTGATGATTCCGGGACGTAATCATCCTAAGGGGGAGATAATTATAACACCCGTAGATCCGGGCTAGTCAATTTAGAGATAATAGGGGTCGAAAACGACTTTTTGACAAAAGACTATTTAGAATAAATAATCTTAACCAAGTTGTAGAATACGTCTCAAGGGTTCCGTACATATAAAGAACGTTGAAATCCGAGTTATAACGAAGAAGTTATGGTCCGTCGAAGTTTTACGGCAAAACCGGCACGGCACCGGGAGACGTAAATAGTGAATTTTTGATAAGGACTTTTTAGCCTTAGTGATCTAAACAAAATTTGTAGCATACGTTAAACCGAGAATATACGAAAAAAGAACGCCCAAATCTGACTTCGTATGGGGAAGTTATGAATTTTCTAAGATTTGGCATAGCAGTGCACTGCCCGAAACTCGAATTTTAGTTCGAGCGGTTTTTGGCCTACGCGACCTAAATGAGAATTGAAGATCTCATTAATAGGAACTCAACGGTAAAAAGACAGACGAAAATAGAGTATGTATGTAGAAGTTATGAATTTTACGCGGACATTTAACAATATAATCTCCTCGTGCTGTTAAATTTAAGATTGATCGAGAATTAGCCGATGGAAGCAAAATGAAAGTTGTAGATATTATTTTTACCTACGCGTGGATATAAAGAACGTCAAAACCGGAGCTCGTATGTGAAAGTTACGTATTTTAGAAGTCGGAAGTGTGTTGTGCTAAAATGGGTGATGTGGCACAATTTTGGCCATTGCTTTCTCCCCAAGTCTTGCCACTAAATGGTGACATGTGGCACCAAGTTCAGCCATTTTTCACCCTATAAATACAACCTCTCCCACCCTCATTTTCTTCACACCTTTCTCATTCTTTCTTCTCTTTACTCTCTCTCTAGAACCTCTCTCTAGCCTCGAAACCCCCCGAAAAGCCTAGGGAACCTCCCTAGCACGAGGCGGAAGCCCCGGAGTGCTCGACGGCTCCGAAAAGAAGAGCTTTTCAGCTCGGGAATGCTGCTCCAAGCAAAGCCCGGTTTTCTATAAAACCCGCTGTAAGTGAGCTACACCTAAGCTATTTTTAATATAGCTTTTATTTAATTATAGTAACGTTATTAGGAACTTATAATAAGTACTTGGGCTATTATTATGGGTTATATAAGTATTTTTTAATGCTTATATAATAGTAATAATAGCTAGACTATTAATTAGTCTCGGCGAATAATATACTAAACTCTAGTGGTAATAATAATAGGTTTCGTCGAAGGAAATTATTTTTTAAGAAGCGAAGCGCTGTCTGAGTTCGGAATCACCACCTTTTCAGGTGAGTGCATGGTCCCTTTCATCTTACACATAGATATGAAGTATTTAATATAAATTACGTGCTATGTGTGCATATTGTCTGAATACTTGCTGTCTATGCTGGGTGAAATATTTTTATACACGTTGTAAATGATTTAAATTGTATATGTATTTCACATCTACAAAACGTGTTGGGTAAAACATGGGTAGATGTAATAGTTGCTGTGTGACCAAATAAAATAATGAGAGGCCTCGATATAGATGTTATTGATGGTCCAGTCATCTAGCGGAGTATAGATGACGACCACGGACTATTCTAGACAATCCAGTGGAACGCTAGCAGGCTCGCAACCTGTAGGTGTTTATTTGAACTGTGTGCTCACCAGCAGTACTCCATCCCCCACATGGTTGCCTTATTTGACATGAATTGCTGAGGAACCCCCGAAGCATGTGTTGTCACCCCGATGAAAGTCCTTAGACTAGGTCCCTTGTGTTAGATGTTTTAGGGACGTAAAGTGAGGATAACGGGAATGGGTAATCGGGTTTGTTTGGTTTGATAAAGTTAAATAAACTTATTTATTGTGGGTTGAAAACCCTATGTACTCACCAGGTTTCCCAACCTGACCCACTCAGTTTATTTATATCACAGGTGTTGATATGAAGTCAGATTACACTGAGAGATTAAGGAGATATAAATCACTAGTGATAATGAATGTAAGTTCTGTTTATGCTTATGTTTCTGTATTGACGATGACATCTCAAATGTTTTAAAATTAATAAATATATTTTTCTTCGAAAATGCTTTGATAACGTATTTATCATGTTTTACTGGGAACAAATTCCGCAACATTTTTATTAAAAGAGGTACTCTAATTTTTATAAAGCATAAACAAAATCGGTCTTTTCTGGCCGTGAAAATGGGGATGTCACAAAGATGAATGGGTAAACCCAGGATCCTGATTCTAGCCAGTCTATCATTTGTTTGATCTTCTACGAATCCGATTTTAAGCCATTTTATCCAACTGCTCCATTTGTGTGTATCGGCCATGAATGTCTCCGCTCCACCTTGTATATGAAGTTTTAATATGATCTTCAAACCCTCGACGAACATAATCTGTGATGGGATACTCTCCTCAGCGTTTAAGAGAGCATGCATATTTCTGAATAGCTTAATATCTTTGACTTCCCCGATGAGACAATTGTTATTGCATGAATTTATCATTGGAGCTTTCTTTAGAAGAACCATTGGGATTTCAACAGCAGGGGGAGGGGAGTGTCATATTCCATGTTGTTCCCTGAGACTACATCAGTGAAGGATTTACCTTTACAAATATTGTTCCATTTCGTGTTTGGAATCAACGTTCGATTGAGTTGATTGGATTTTGTAGTGTGTCTAGGCGGCCTTTTCACATACTTTGCAATGTTTACCTTTGCTATACAGTTTCTGCATCTAACTTGATTAAGAGATTTCACAAGTGACTCTTTATCTTTGACATCTTCGTATCTGATGAATGCAAAGAACATACCTCCTTTGTCCTTCCTCCTAGGGATGTAAATATCCACCAACTTACCAAAGGTTTAGAAAGATTCCTTTACCATTGCTATTGTTACATCCATCGGAAGGTTCGTGACGTAGAAGGTTGTGACCTCCTTGGAATTGTCTCTGAAGTTTTTTTTCCGGCGGACCTCCGTCCATCCCCCTCCGTCGTGCCTATCCTAGTGGGTGTTCATGCGACCATCCATCTTCCGTTAACGAGTATTTCAAATATGTTGTACCCACGTGTTGGGTCGTTGTATCCAACTGGTATCCAATAAAAAGGTGCTAAGCTACAAAATATAAACATTACAAAAACAATACATAAATAAATTATGACCATATCATAAAAATATTAGTCCATTCGTCCCAAATTAATAGTCCATGTTTTCTTTTTGTTTGTTCCAAAATAATTGTCCACTATGAAATAAATATTATTTTTACCAAAATACTCTTCATTATCAGTTAAACTACAACGGATTTAAATGCAACTACTATAGAATTAAACGCAACAAAATGGTATAATTGTCATTTCATTTAATAAAGTTAATAGTAATTAATGTTTCCTTAATCTGTGTGTTTTTTGTTTGTGTACAATAATTTTGGGACGGATGAAGTATTTTTTGAACGGCTAACACACCTTGTAAACTACTTCTAAACGTCAACCCTAACAGTTCATAGGCCATAACGAATTAGCTGTCCTCGAATTTTATTGTGTCCATTGAATGCATAATTGACATCTTCCAAGTACATTCAAATCCTAACGCCCAATATAAAGAAAGGAACGTACGATCATTTAATTTCTGCTAAAAATGGGGAGAGGTACGAGATTTGCGTCCTAGATTGGGGGATTAGCGAGGAAATTGCACTAATTGATGGACATTTAAGAAAAATTATGCATTTTCTTGTTGTAAGTTTTGTTTGTAAATTTGTCCGAGATGGGGATATAACGGAGGAAACCAGATAAATTGATGGAATAATAAAATTTGAAAAGATATGCATTTCTTATTTCCAAATTGGCCTTATATAATGCATGGTTTCTTGTACTCTTGTAGCCAAAGTCAGAGGCGTATGTCCACTGGAGATAAGAAATGGCTTCATTGTCGTTGACAAAAATCTTAATCTTGTTCTTGTTTACTTTGCTGTTTTCGATATCAAATGCCGACTCTTCTCCACCATACAAACTCGTTGACAAAGTCTGTAGCAAACTACAGGACGTTGACTTCTGCTGGCAGATCCTACAATGTGATATTAGGAGTAAGTTTGCAGAAAATATAACCATCCTTTCAACCATCGCATTCGATGTGACAATAAAACAAGTAAACTCTTCACGAGATCTACTCCGTGGATTGAAAACCGGCTCTCCTGGTGTGTTGAAATCTCTGAAAGATTGCATCCATGCGTATAGTCATGTGATGTCAAATTTGAAGCTTAGTAAGTCAAAAGAAGATTGTTCTTTTATTAGTTACCACATTCAAGCTGCAGTGGAGGAGATTAAACGCTGCCAAAGGATCGTGGATTCAAATGGGGCTCATGGCTCTTTTATTACAAATGACAATGATGTCAACGAGGAAGCGTGTTGGCTTTGTGAATCATTAGCCAACCTTATGTGTAAGAGTTAAGCAAAGTGATGTTTATGTCTATGATCAATAACTAATAATTAATTAAAATGGTCAAGTCTCCTTTTCAAATTTGCGGAGATGATTAATTTTCGTTTTCTTTGTTGTACAATAGCTAGCGGAAGCATTAAGAAATATTTAGGAAAGAAATTAGCAAGAAAAGAACCAAATATGAATTTCTTATTTCATTGTGATATGCGATACAAACAAAAGTGATAACACACATAGACACAAAAATGAAATCTGCAAAAAATAAGTAAATAAATAAATAAAAATTAATAAAAAAAATTCTATATTTTTGCTCTATTCACAAAAAAAAGCATTTCCGATTTTTTTTTTCAATTTAACCATTGAAATTTGTAAACACATACAAAATAATCATTGTAACCGGTTAGTGTCAGTTTTAAGGCTTAAACTAAAAAAAAAAAAAAAAACAACATTGATGATTTTTTGGTTTATAAGGTTAAAGTTTAAGAACTTTTCTAGAGATTTTCTTTTTATATATACCAAAACAAATTTATTTGAAGAAAACTTATATTTATTTATTAAAAAACATACAATAAAGATACAATATACAACATTTTCACAAAAAAACCTCATATATTTTTTTTTATTGAAATACATAATAATGATAATTTATATATCATTTTTGAGATTTTTTTGTGATTCTCTTTAATAAATATCATTACTATATTCATAAAGATATCATCTAAAAAAAATCCTAAATAGAGCCCCATGATATATATATATATATATATATATATATATATATACACACACACACATACATACACACACACATACAACCCAGAAACGTACTCTTTACGACAAATCAGCAAAAGTCCTATTAACTGTATTTAACATTTGTTATTTCCATAAAAGCCCTCATATTTACATGAAATGTGTGGTTATGTCGTAAGTCCAAATTTTGTTCCTTAATGTCTCACATTTAGGTAAGTTTTGTCATTTTGGGTTTTTATCAGGATATGAAGATAAAGAACAGTAGGTGGATGATGGTGCGGATGGGGGTATTGGTGTTTGTGGTGAAGATGGTGTTGTTGGTGGCAAAGGGTGGTGTTGATGACAGAGTGTAGTGGTGGTGATGTGTAAATATGACGACTTTTATTACAACGGTGACTGGTTAAGAAAGTGAAAAACCTGATAAAAAGTTAAAATGAAATTTTTTTGACAAATATGACGCATTAGTGTACACAAAAACTGGCTTTTGTTGATTTGTCGTATGAAGTGCATTTGTCGGCCACATAGTGTGTATAATGGAGCTCACTACAAGAATTTTGAGCTACGACCACACTTTTTAAAACTAGATTTGCCACATTTTGTAAAAAAATGTGACGATTTCGTTATAAAGTGTGGCAAATTATCATTGGTTAAATCCTTGATTATTTTTACCATATTTAAAAAACGTAATGATTATCATTGAGACGATTAACATACATATAGTCACATATAGAAATCTAATGTTGCTAAAAGGTAATACATATGATCACATGAATTGTTTGTATAACCGTATGTATCACTTAGCCACACATATATAAATCTAATGTAGCTAAAAGTAATGTCGATGATCACATGAATTGTTTGTAAGACCATTTGTATCATTTAGCGACATATAATAAACGTAACAAACCATATGATTGTACGCATATTATGGCGACATTTGTTTAATAGTTTGTGTGCCCATATGTAATGTTTAGTTGCGGTCAAATAATGTGGCCAAATATGACCATTTGCCACGTCTTTGTGTCCGTTTTATCATAAATAATGTGTAATTGATTCAAATGTAGGTAAAGGTAATAACTATGGTCACATGAATTGTTTGTATGACCATATGTATCATTTAGCCACATATAATAAACGTAACAAACCATGTGAGTGTAAGAATATTATGGTGGCGTTTTTGTAACAGTTTCTATGTCCATATGTATCGTTTAGCCTTATTCAGAATAATTTGGCCAATATATGACCATCTTCCATGTCTTTATGTTTGCTTTATCAGAAATAATGTGTAATGGATTCTAATGTAGCTAAAGGTAATACCTATAGTCACATGAATTGTTTGTATGGCCATATGTATCTGTTAGGGAAAACAAATTATACTTGTCAAGACTCTGAACAAATCTGATGCCACTTGCGAAGTTCTGATGACCCTTGTTAGGAAATAATGCAGATAACAAACGAAACTATAAGCACGCAAAGACATAATATTTACATGGTTCAATCAAGGTGACCTACGTCCACGGGCAGGACGGGGTAGTCTTTATTTACAGAGTTCTCTAACAGAGATTACAAGTACAACTAGCGGATATTAGTTTTACTCAATCATGATACAAAAGACACGACACGAATAATTTAGCATGCATCCCTATTTGTACTTGAGGGATCATGCCTAAAACCCTAATGGGCCAAGCCCATTAGCCCATGAATGTTGTCAACCAATCACAATACGACATGAAGCAGCTTCTAGAACATTTATCCTTGCATGAGCATTAGTAACACACATGATGGAGCATCATGATCCATATTTGTACATCATGATGCAAGAGTGGCACATCAAGATCACCATGGCATATCAAAAATCATGGTGGCACATCAAGCAATAATCCTTAAGCATCTTCAACTTTTGAGCTTCCTTGAACAATCTTGAGCATCATAGGGGACTTTATAGCATACGACCCATCAACGGATACCTTGGAATATCAAGGACCCAAGGGGCGCATCCTTACATCTAGATGGCACACCGGGCATGAGGATGGCACATCTAGATCAAGATATGGCACATCTTATCCAACGTTGGTGCATCGTCTTCCAAATTGGCATATTTAGGCTCTAAGTTGGCACATCCACTCTACAATGATGCATCCACCTCACGAATGGCATATCATGTCACTTCGTGGCATATCCAGCCACTTGATGACATATCCTTTCACTTGGTGGCATATCAAGTCACTTGTTGGCATATCAAGTCACTTCGTGGCATCTCTTTCTCAGATGTCTGTTCCTTTGTCACTTGATATGTTCCTTTGTCAGGAGATCCATCCATTTCTTATATGATGCGTTCCTTTGTCACATGGTCCATGAACACCAAGTGATCCATTTGATAGGTTTTACATGCACTAACACAGATAAATCATTAACTCTTAAGGGTACATGCAACCTAAGGATCTATTTCATACCTCTATTGAAGTAATATTCTATTGAACAACAAAAAACCTATGAACCCTATGTCAATTTCGAAAATCACATACAAGTTAGGGTTTACATACCTTTTAGTTATTGTAGTAAATAACTAATCCAAAACCTTCTTGAAGAACTCTTGGAAGCAAGCACCACAAGTGTTGTGCCTCTAATGGTTCACACCCAAACCCTAGAAACCAAGGAGCTTGAAGAGAGAGAGGAGAGAGGTGGAAATTTTAGATTTCTATTCTAATCATAGAGTGGCTGAAATTTGCAAGGTATAATGGTCTTTATATATAGTGCATCAAGGAAACCCTAGATAACTGTAACATCCCAATTTTCAAGGCCAAAAATTTCATTTTTAAATTAAGTACTTCATAAAATAGTGTGCCAAAACATTGTCAAAGTTACATCAAATTATAAAAACCATAGCGTCATGTCTCAAAACCACAATATCAAAAGTAATGAAAATCAGAGTACAATCCCAGAAACTCCATGCGGAAATCATGTGTGTGTGATGCGCTGCTACATCGTCGGCTCCTTCCCCTTGGATGAAGAGGTACCTGAAACCAAAACCGAAACTGTAAACACAAAGCTTAGTGAGTTCCCCCATCATACTACATACCAAACAACATACATATTGCCGGACAATTCTGGGGTGCCCGACCTATCCATGTCAACCGTTCTGGGGTGCCCGACCTACCCATGTCAACCGTTCTGGGGTGCCCGACCTACCCATGTCAACCGTTCTGGGGTGCCCGACCTACCCATGTCAAGCTGTTCTGGGGTGCTGATCTACCCGTGTCAAGCCGTTGTGGGATGCTGACCTACCCGTGTCCGGCCATTCTGGGGTGCCGACTACCCTCCGGTCTATCTCAACCGATCACCGGGACTACTTCACCCCCTACTTCTAACATATAATATCATATCATAATCATACTGTCAGACTTATCTGGGATGTCCGACCTACCCATTGGTCCTAGCGACTGAATCGGGGACTAATCCCCTCCTACTGATACTAACACATATAAAACATCATGCTATCATGCACACATATCAAACCAAATCAAACCATACAATTATCACAAAGACAATCGTCTCAACTAAACAACTACTAGTGGGCCGGCCTTGGTGCCTTAGACCCACTTCTACTGGAAGGTAACTCACCTCGATGTCGTGTAGTGTCTGAACTGTCCTCGGTGTGCAAATGAACTCCCCTCGACTTCCCAATCCCTACACGACAACCCTTCTAAGTTATCAATTCGAACATGCAACCCTAACCAGGGTCAACTCAATTCAGTCAAAGTCAACTTTGGTCAAAGTCAACATCCAGTTGACCTGACTCGCCGAGTTGGTCTACCAACTCGTCGAGTTTATACTCCTCTAACCCGAACCAACCCCCAACTCTAGTCGTCGAGTCTAGCAAGAACTCGACGGGTTCTCCTTCAATCATACCATCGGGACCATCTTCATTCGACTCGCCGAGTTCATCCTTGAACTCGTTGAGTTCATCTCCCTCATAAGAATGTGTCCAGTCTATGACTCGCCGAGTTGTATGAACAACTCGTCGAGTCCATCTTCAAAGATTGCGAGATTGCCTTGGACTCGCCGAGTCTGCTCAAACACTCGTCGAGTCCCATGATTCCCAGGTCTAAAATCCCGTCCATCTTTGTTAAGTCCCTCTCTAGACTCAACCAGATCCCCCAAAATAGCAAAGGTTGGAGAACCACTACCCGACTCGTCGAGTCCTAAGAACAACTCGCCGAATCCACTAAAGTCCATGTCCATAAACTCGATTTATGTCAAGC